ATTATCCATGTTCTCTCTCTTTCTTCTACTCCATTACCCTTTCATACTATAATGGATCGGAGTGAGAAAACTTCCCTAAGTACCAAACTGTGTTTTTGTTGTGTTCCTCCAAGCTTTTTAAAGGACTTGAATAAATCCAAATAACGAACTTTTTAAATTCCATCTGTTGATTTCTACACAGTTTGGTTCCCATACTACTATCTACACTACTGTCTGGTTCCCATATTACCATCTACACTACAATCTGGTTCCCATACTACTGTCTACACTACAGTCTAGTTCCCATACATTCAAATGTCCAATGGAACTGCTGCTAAATCCAAAGATTGCAACCTCCTCTTCGTCTCACTTGATCTTTCTCATTATTGCACTATAGAACCTTGCTTCTTCTTGCTACCTTTGTCCATAACTGCTCTCTCTTGGTTATTATCTTAGATATTCCAATGCTCCTTTCTGGTTCTACTTTTCAGGCATCTTCTCCTCCTCGCTCCTTCTTCCAGCTCAGCTCTGCTAGTGCTCCCTCACTAGAACACATCTCCCTGAGTAACACTCAGTTGTGTTAATATTCAGCAGAACTCACTGTCCTGTCTCCTGAGTCTTTGTGTCAATGGTTCCTTAGTAAAATGCATCTCCTTGAGTAACACTCAGTTGTCTCAAAGCTCGCTCAGTAAAATGTATCATTCAGAGTATCACTCAATTATGTTAGTGCTGCTTCAGTAGGACACAAGTCCATTTGGCTATATTCCTGGTTCCTTCTCAGAGTGCATCTTCTCGAGTGCTCTTCAATAGAACTCTGTGCATGAATTCTCTCTTATTAACCCAATGTGCACCACTGTGTCCCAATTCAAGCATCCCTGTGACCCTCAAAGAGTTGATGAAATACTTTGTTCCACTTTGAGGAGGCCGCATATCCCTGTGACTGAAGTCTGAAAGAATGAGGTCAGAAGATTGTACGCAAATCGTGGGCAGAAGCAGATCTGTAACTGCTTTCAGAAAACCCACAGCAATTCCCCTCCGTGAGCAATAAATTTGGTTCTCCTACTAGTGAAGGCATCCTGACCCCTCCTAGAGAATCATTACATTACAAGCCATGAGAGATAATTAAAATAGGTCACCTCACGTTGAGAAATATTGAATTACTCTTAGCATTTGTCACACAGATCTGAATAAACAAAATGCCACCTAGTATTTTATTTTATTTTTAATTGCAAATTATTACGCTCTTGCTCGCTTTTGTTTTTCAACCTCTGCATATTGAAAATAAAACAAAAAACAGCAATAAATAAATGGTTAAAAAATAATAATTTGTTAAAAGCATTAAAAATGTAGATAGAGGCAAATGAAGATGTCTTTTCTGTGGCTTTAGAAGACAAATAATTGGTTGCAGAGGGAGAGGGCATCAAAATACTTTCTTTGCAGAACACTGCGTCTCTCAAGTTCTGAGTCATCCGCGAGCTACGTGTATTGGATCTGTAATCTGACAACATTTCCACCTCTAGAATAAGCTCAGAGATACCGCTAGCAGGTTCTGCATCTCCGTTGTGAGACTGCATTCTAAGACAAGGGATTTAAATTTCATAGATCCAAAGGAAAGGCAGAAAATGCAACAGTAAAATATACACAGTCAAACAAATATATATAAAATGTATTATAATTTTTACAGTGCCAATCGACTACGCAGAAATATATACGAGTAATCGCAACAAGCAAATTTTAAATACAGACAGGAACAAGAGGCGATAAGAGCCCAGCTTAAATTGCCCAAGTGTGTTTACTTTGGATAAAGTAATACAAAATATTTCAATGTTAATAAGTAGATTGGCTCCCAGGAGACTTTACCGTTACATTTCACTTGCTTATTTCCAAAGAACCATAAAACCTGATCACATTCCTGCTGCTACGTGCGGCGTTTATAAACACTAGTTTATTAGATATTTACTGTTTTTATTATACCACCAAGGTAAAGGTAATATATCTTGCTAGCTCTTATGTGCACTGGGGAAAAAGAAAATTAACCCTGATATTAAATAATCAGTAATGATTTATTACACATGCATTTGATATGAGACTGCCCTCCAGAGATTAGTAATCCGTTAAATATACTAAAATATAAATATTTTTGTTTTATGATGGTTGCATTTTAATTTTTTGCAAGAAATACTGTACATTCTGTGTTTATAGCACTTAAATATGCCTTTAGTACCTGGTATCTGGAGAAATGTCGAGTGTATTGTTCTTCGTGTGCAGTTAGGGATTCTGGGCAAACAAATGCAAATTAGACATCCCACAGTGCATTCTCGATTTATTCATAAATGCCAACTTATAGAGATTTTTTTATGCAGGGTGGTTGGGAAAAACAACAGATTTTTTTTCAACGCAAAAGAGGGACTGAGATTAAATACAGTGACAAATTTAAATTAATAGAACACTATCTATCTAATTAACATTGCAGGTTATACAGGGCACAAGAAATTATATTGACTGCGAAGGCACTGCCAAAATAGATTACAGGCATTGTGCCTTAAAGGGACACTATAGTCACCTGAACAACTTTAGCTTAATGAAGCAGTTTAGGTGTATAGAATATGCCCCTGCAGCCTCACTGCTCAATCCTCTGCCATTTAGGAGTTAAATCCCTTGTTTATGAACCCTAGTCACACCTCCCCTGCATGTGACTTGCACAGCCTTCCATAAACACTTCCTGTAAAGAGAGCCCTATTTAGGCTTTCTTTATTGCAAGTTCTGTTTAATTAAGATTTTCTTATCCCCCGCTATGTTAATAGCTTGCTAGACCCTGCAAGAGCCTCCTGTATGTGATTAACGTTCAATTTAGAGATTGAGATACAATTATTTAAGGTAAATTACATCTGTTTGTTAGTGAAACCAGTTTTTTTTTCATGCAGGCTCTGTCAATCATAGCCAGGGGAGGTGTGGCTAGGGCTGCATAAACAGAAACAAAGTGATTTAACTCCTAAATGACAGTGAAATTGCCTGGGAATGATCTATACACTAAAACTGCTTTATTTAGCTAAAGTAATTTAGGTGACTATAGTGTTCCTTTAAGTATTTCATATATTATAACCCAGACAATCTGCCTTACTGTGCCATGCTAATTGCATGCTACATGCAAATTTCTTAATTTCAATATCAGTTATATATTGACATTTTTAAATAACACTTTAAAAAAAAAAAAAAGTAGTTAAAATATATACCGTATTTTCCGGCGTATAAGACGACTGGGCGTATAAGACGACCCCCAACTTTTCCAGTTAAAATATAGAGTTTGGGATATACTCGCTGTATAAGAATACCCCTCTTCCAATGCACACCAAATAAAAATTAGCCATGATGTACAGTGAGCAGACAGAGCTACACAGCAAGACATTAAATAATGATAATCTGAAAATAGCATTTAAAGCCCAGGTATGTGCCAGGCTGTTTGGGCATATAATCTTTATGCCCTATAATTATTTTTATTCTTTTTACTCCCCCCACCCCCAATCCTCCCTACATTCTTCTCACCTCCCCTTCCCTGTGCAGAGTGGGTGGCCGAGCTCCTCTTCGTCCTGTCAGTCAGTGTGCACTTCCTTTCAGTCCGGCCGGGAACAGGTAACTGAATCTCCTGTACCGCGCGGTACCCGGCCGGACTGACAGGACGAAGAGGAGCTCGGCCACCCACTCTGCACAGGGAAGGGGAGGTGAGAAGAGAGGCAGTGCGGCAGCCGTCTGAGTGTTCTCTATAGAGCGCTCAGGCGGCTGCAGCATTAGAAGGGCCGGCGATGGGGGCGCAGGGCGCCCCTGGCAGCCATATAGACCCTATACCCGGCGTGTAAGACGACCCCCGACTTTGGAGAAGATTTTCCAGGGTTAAAAAGTCATCTTATTTGCCAGAAAATACAGTTTTTTTTTTATTAGTGTTCTTAACATTGGTATAAAGCTTGTTTGATGGTATATATTTGCTCTCGTTTACTTATTTGCTTCCTGGGTTTCTTCAAGGAGCTAAGAATTGTGGCACGCTAGGAACAGCAACATTTATACAAAAAGAGGAGAGTGGCTGTTTTTCTAACTTGTTCTTTTATCCTGCATTTTTTAAATTGATGTCAATTCCTTGCAATTTCTGGTTTAGTGGATAAAGCTCTAAGAGGTCACATATAGATATTTCTGCGGATGCATTACAGTAGATTTCTTGAAAACGGTATTATTTTACTAGCGATTACAGTAGTATTTTGTTTTTCACGATTTATACATTACACTTGCTAGCTATACATTACCTCTATTTGCTGTTTTATCATTTCATTCTGCTTTTCTTTTTCCAAGGTTTTCAGCTGATAGTTTAATTTTTCAATTTCCTCATCTCTTTTGCAAAGTAAAGTTTTAATTTCTTCATCCTTCAGGATTACTGCAAATTCACATAAAAAAAAAAATAATTTAAAAAGGAACTAACTGGTGGATATTCTGCCAAGCTTTCTACACCAAGGTAAACGTGACAAAGTGACACAAGAAAAAAATGACCTAGTAGCATGGGCGTCCGCAGGAATTTTTCCAGGGGGGGGGGCATAATTGTAATGACATCCATGCTTGGTACCTTTTTGACAGTGTCATGAAAGGGAAGGGGCATAGCCATTATCACATAAAGCTAGGGTGAATAGCGTTTTCACAACTATGGTGTCAGGAATAAATGTTTGTATTACTGACACTATAGTGTTCCTTTAAGCAAATTAAAGGACCATTCTGGTCACCATAACAACTTCACCTAAATGAAAATGCTATGATGCCAGGAAGCCCCTGGGTGCTCGCTTTCCTTTAAGGGGTTAAACCACTCTCAAATGGTTTAACCCCAAAGGCTTCCTCCAGCTCCAGGTCGCTCAGTGGTATTTGGCTTCTGAAACAGAGTGTCAGGAAGTGCAGATTGACGCCAGGCATGGGTGCCGCTGATTGGCTAGAGTGGTCAGTTGACGCTCTAAGCCAATCGCTAGTTCCCGGTTCATAAAATATTTTTACTTTTTTATGAATGGGGAGTTACTGATTGGCTTAGAGTGCCAGCTGACCGCTCTAGCCAATCAGCAACACCCCTACCCAACGGCACTCTGTGCTTCCTGACACTCAGTACATAAAAGTGAACACATTAATACTGATATTTTTTTACCTTTGGAGATGAGAAGGTCCAGCGTTTCCCTGCTTGGCCCAGGTACCAAAGCCTTATGATGTGGTGTCCAGAATAAAGTGGAGGGTTCACTTAATTTGTCCTTCCTGCTCTAATCTCCTTTTCCTCTCCTTCATTTGACAGTCTTTTTTTTTCTTCTGACACTGTTTTCTATCCTTGGCCCCTTCTGCTCTTTTACCTTTCTGCTACTTTCTGCTTATTTTGCGCCCTTCTGCTCCTTTCTCATTCTGATCCCTTTCTGCTCCTTGCAGACCCTTTCTGCTCCCTTTTCTAATTTACCTTTGTGCTCCTTGCTGTCCCTTTCTGCTCTCTTTTCTACTTTACCTTTGTGCTCCTTGCTGTCCCTTTCTGCTCCCTTTTCTACTTTACCTTTGTGCTCCTTGCTGTCCCTTTCTGCTCTTTCTCCTACTTTACCTTTGTGCTCCTTCTGATTCTTTCTGCTCCTTGCTGTCCCTTCCTGCTCATTCTCCTACTTTACCTTTGTGCTCCTTCTGCCCCTTCCAGCTCATTTCTGACCCTTTCTGCTCCTTCTACTTTACCTTTGTGCTGCTTTACCTTCCAGATCCTTGCTGCCCCTTCCTGTTCATTTCTGTTCCTTTGTGCTCCTTCTCCTATTTTACCTTTTGTGCTCCTTGCTGTCCCTTCCAGCTCCTTGCTGCCCCTTTCTGCTCCTTGATGTCCCTTCCTGCTAATTTCTGTTCCTTCTCCTTTTCTTACCTTACCTTCCTGCTCCTTGCTGACTCTTCATGTAGGCTGTCTCCCCCATTCCTCACTTCTATAGGTGTGCGCACGGGGTGTGTCGGGTGTGCCTGGGTGTGCCAATGGGGTGTGTCCGGTGTGCCAATGGATTGAGACCGGCAGGGGAGATCTCTGGATCTCCCCGGTCGGCTCATGCAGAGCCGACGCTATCCGAGCGGCGGCTCTGGTCTAAGCCTCCATGGGCCAGTGGGGAGATCAAAGTTCTACCTCACCGGTCCACAGCAGCATGGAGGGAGGCAGCAGAGAACCCGGGCTAGAGTTCACTCTCCACTGAACCACCAGGGAAGGCAGCAGGACTGGGATATTAACTAGTCTTCCCCCACCTCCACCCAAACATACAGCACACACAGCCCACAAACAGCACCCACACACACACACACACACACACAGCACCTACACACATACATCACCCTCGCACACACAGCACCCACACACATACAACACCCACACACACCCAGCACACTAACAGCATCCTCACAAACACACAAAACCCACACACAACACCCGCACAGCACCCACACACAAACAGCACACTCTCATACAAACAGCACCCTGACAAACACACAACACCCGCACACAAACAGGACCCGAACAAACAAGCACACACAAACACCCTCTCACACACACACAGCACACTACCAGTTCCCTCACAAACAGCACCCTCACACACACACACAGCAGTGTGTGTGTATACATATATATATATAACAGATATATATATATATATATATACACACACACACATACATATACACATGGCGTGTGTTTGTGTTTTAGGGTGCACACCCTAATGCAATAGGCTGCGCACGCCTATGCTCACTTCCCTTATCTATAGGCTGCCCCCCATGCCTCACTCCCCTAA